TGTTTGACTCACTTACAGAAAACCAGAATCATCAGTACTCTTTGAAAGATCTCAAGAGCCTTAAAAAGGTTTATGAACTTTAAGAAGTTTAAACTTATTAGTTGCGTGCATACAGTTCATGTTTATAAGATGAATGTATGAACTCTGCAGACCTGCATGGGTTGAAGTGGGTCTTTACCCAGCCAGACTTCTTGAATTCCGTTTTGTTTTGACAGCAGATGCACATTTAAAACTTGCTGCTCTTTTCTTCTTGTAGTTGTATACATTTTTAATCTCTAGAATTTAATGCACATCTTTGTGTTCAGCAACAGAGTTCATGTTATTTGGCATACTGATTTTATTGAGACTGTGTTAATTATATATTAAAGACTTATTTTACATTACATGTATATAATGTGAAATATCTTGATGGTACGGTAGATAATACTTTTAGTCATCACTTGTTATGTCATTTTGTGAGTTGTTTGTTCTTGTGATAAAGAGGTGTCTTCAAGATAAATGGGTGGGTTAGCAATAGCTTTGCTAAAATGAGTTTACAAAAAGTATTAACATATTTTGGATAAACTACTACAGGCCATCTGTTTCTTCACTATCCCTGGTCTAGACAAAACAGATTTAAATCTTTTTGGAGCAGTACAGCTTAGCAGCATAGGTGAATCAGTAGTATGGAACCCTTTGAATCAGAATAATTAATTATTAAGTGAAGGGGTATGCTTTTGAAGTTATTGACAAGTGAGTAATTTCTAGTGCACAGAGAACTATTTTTTTCTGTGTGGAAGGCCTGCTTGTTTGCACGGCTCTTGAAGTGCTGGTGAACAGGAGAACAAATGGCTGCACTTAGCAATAAAAATATTTAACTCTGAGTTTTGTAAGCAGATTATTTAAGACACCAGCTATTTCTGTTTACAGGCATATTCATAAAGCTAAAAGTAAAACCATTTTGTAGACCAGGTTTTTTTAACTATTATTTCAGGCAGTATTTACTTATGGTTTATGTTTGATTCAGACAAAGCTCCTTTTTTCAAGATGAAGCTTTTGAATTTTTCAAATACCCCAATGCCTTCTTTGCACATGTGATATAAACATGTATCAAACTCACTAGCACTGCAGAAATATCATTAAGAACGTTGTTCTAATGAAAATTTTTCTCAGGTGTATCTGAATTAAAAATAAAGGGTTTTTTCTTGAAAAGTACACTTATGGGTTCTCTTTTCTGGTTCAACACTCCTTGGGCTTATAACTCAGACTTGTGAATTATGGGTTTTGTCTTGAAGTGCCAAGAATGAGGCTTTTAATTCTGAAAGCGCTGTCAGTACAGCTGATGGGTTTTGGTTTTAAATGTCCTTTCTTTGAGATTGCCAGGTGTTCAAGAGAGATCTGCAGCTCATCCGATCCATGCAAATCCGACTGTGCTTCACCAGCAAAATGCCAATTTTGTTCTTCGGTCATGGTGGCAAGGTATGGCAATCACATGCACCGATTTCTGGCTTAGTGATTTAAGTCTTTTTTCCACTGCAGTGTGCTCAGAGAACGTTTGCCGTAAGTGTGCAAATTACTGAGGTGGTTTAGTAAACTTAATCGATTTTCACTTAACAGAGTTCAGAGTGGTTTTAATAACATTGAGTAGTACGTTGGAGGATTGTATTAATACTACAGATTAGGAAGAAGTTCTTTTGCTAACAGAAAGCATAAAAACCAGCTATGTAATTTTAAAATAGTTGCTTGAAAACTGTAGTTGAGTAAGAGCCAATGTCTGAAGCCACCACATCACAAAAGCTTTTGATGAAGTTAAATCTTTGTGCCACCAAAACCCAGAAGTATTAAAAGCTCTTTCTAAGAAGCAGTCTTGACTGCTAAAGTTTGTATCTCATTTTGACACTGAAGACAAAAATCAGAATCTTCGCAGCAGTAAATCATACTAAAAAAAATAAATCAGTAAATTTAGGAGCCAGTTATTAAAAAAAGTCAAAAAGGCTTTAAAAGGCAAGAGAATTTTAAATAATGTTCTTGACAAATCATTTATCCACAAAGAAACAGACAAGTGAGTTTTCATAGATAGACATACATTATGGCAGTTAATTTTAGGACAGTTTTAATCAATCCCTAGTGATTAAACTATAAACCTAAAAGTCATCCAGGGAAAAGGAGCCCAGGCAGATACCAGGATTACCTGTGCTGATGATGCCTTCCAGCTGCAATGGTGGCTGAGAGGTTAACTCTGTTTGAGGTAAAAATGACAGCCAGCAGCAGCTCAGGAAGCTAAAATTACCCCTTCTTAAGAAGTCCAAATGCAGAACTGCAGCGATGTTTGCACGAGGGAGCTGGTCCAGCTGCAGGCAGAGCTTTGTGCCCACGTGTGCCAGATGCAGTCAGCAGATTAAATACCAACTGTCCCCAGTTTGAAAAATCAGCACTTGGCCATGACATCGCCCCTCCCCTAAAGCCAAGAGCTGACCACGAGTGGGTCTCTCTTCAGTAGATGATGGTAAGAGGGCAGGTTTTGTGAGAAAGCTTGAACTCAACCTTAATGAAATACTTGGCAACAAATGGGTTTTTCACTTTCTGTGTGTGATTAAGTCTGATCCCTTTGGTTTCAGGCATATTTGGCTGGGTGAGTATTTGGACCCCACACACTCTGGTAGACAGCCCCTGCTGCTTGCTAAATGCCACCCTTGTAAATAAGTTCAGCAACATGAGAGTGTTTTTGCTAGTAAGCAAGAGGGATTACACGGGGATACAGTGCCCAGCACAGAGAATGGTGTGTTCAAAACCATCCTGAGCACACAGCCTGTGAAGAAAGGGTAGCTCAAGCCACAAACTGCATCAGCGCTGGTCTGATGCCTAAACCCAATTGCTCTCATTTAGGCTGTTGTGGATTTTAATGTCCTTATCGTGGAGGTGGTAGGCAATGCTCGTCCTCTTGTCAAGCCAACTCACTAGGACCTGGTGGAAGGAGAGCTGAGTTGTGCCAGCGTGCTGGCTGTGCCTGCCAAATGGGTTTCTGCTGGTACCTGGTGCATAGGCAGGTGCTGAGGCAGTCATGCAGGCACTTTTTGACTCCTCTGCCCCATGGTTCCTATGAACACAACAGCGCAGAGCTGCGGATGGGGCCGGACGTGTATGCAGGAGCTGCCTAACTTGGTGCGCTGGCTCTGGCACGCAGCCGTACAGGACGTGGCTGAGGATGAGCAGGACAGGTTTGCCCAGCCCTGCAGTCCCACTCCCTTCAGCCTGCCCACATGCCCCTGAGGTGCCAGCGCTGTTTGTCCTGATGCCAAGGTGGTGCTCAGCCCAGCACTGGACAACTGTGACGCGTGCAGCTTTCCATGCACCACGGGAGCCTCACCGCAAAGCCAGGAGCAGACCCTGCCAACCTCAGACACTGCATTTCCCTGCTCTAGGTGGGGCTGGTGCAGAGACTGCAGGAACTGCAGATCTCAGCCCTGACCTCTCCACAGCGCATCCCTGGCCCCAGCAGGCCTCCAGCAGCAGCAGGGCCTTCGTTACCCAGAAGGACCAGAAACAAACTCAGGAGATCAAGAAGTGATGCAAAGGAAAAAACAAATCAGATTCTGCATAGGAAGAGGGGCCTACAACAGGCAAGGGCCAGGCAGCAGCCACCTGCCAAGGCCAGAGAAGCTGCCACAAGAACAAAAAACTTCTGAGAAGATGTTGCAATCTCTTTTCTACAGGGAAGCACATAAGTAATATAATTAATACATACACAAACACACACACATATATAATATATACATAAATCCTGGTGCCTCAGGAAAAAAAATAGAATTTTTTTTTTTACTGTTAATTCCTTGACACTTCAGTTGTGTCTTGGCTGTAAAATTTTCAACCTCATAGGCAACTCTCTCAAGGGCACTTCAGAATACCCGTGTTTCAATTTATGTATATGAAATAGATGCTGTGTTATTTTAGCAATAGCTTTCTGTGAATTTGAACCAAACTGTTTCATCTGAGAGAGGCAAGGAGAAGGTCTAGAGGCAGCTACTCAAGGAGTAGCAGCACAGACCAAGGGTTCCTTTCACAACGGGGGGGGGAGGGGGTCAGATGTGCCACATGATGTTCTTTTAGTGCAGGACCCTTTATACAAATACAGCTGAAAGCAGGGATACTCCTGTGCACTAAACTCCAGCCCACGAAAAGAGACCAATGTGCCCTGGCCAGGACTTGTCCCAGCACCTTTTCCAATTACACCTTCCCAAGACAGCTTCATGCCCTCACAGAGGCTGTGCCACCTTCTCAACACTTTCTTTACAGCAGCATTCCTATCCTTATAAGAAAACTTTGAATCTACTTAAAAGACATTGCAAAACTGTATGCATGATCTGGTAGATACCTGCCAAATTCTCCTCTCTGGAGTCCCAGAGACTGACCACAAGATTCACTACACAGTGTCTATAACACTGGCAATAAAATAGACCTAAAAGTAGCACCTTTTTTTTTTCTCCGTCTCTAGAGAAACTATTTTACAGCCATTATTTTGTAGAACTGAAGAGGGGAAGATGACAACCCATCATGGAGCTGGAGAAGCTGAACAAGTTATTTTGCAAGCTCAAGACAAGAGCATTTGTGACAGCACCATTCATCTCTACATACCTCTGCACAGCGATGAGGTTTCGCTAGCAGCAAGGGAAGCCAATGCTGCTGCACGACCAACAGCGCTTCAGCTTCTTGCACAGCCCCGTCACTGGTGCAGGAGCGGCAGCAGTGGTCACTGCCAGGACAGCTGGTGGCATCACACTGTGCCTGCACTGCTGCCTGGCACAGGTCCTCTTGGGGAAGCGGGTAACGGGAACTTTTTGAGCACTTACAGATTGTAGCTTGTGTGCCCTTGGAGCAACGCTTGTGCTCCCTCCTTTGGGAGACAGCATCCATCCATACAGGCAAGCAGAGCAGTACAAGGTCACATCCATTCCTGGGGGAGGCCTGGCAGCTCTTCATTCAGCATCACCTTCATCTGTCCACAGTCTATACCCTCAGATCATGTCTTACATCCTAAATAAACAACCATACGAACAGCAACGAACCACAAATCTGGACTAGCAAATAACATCTTCAGAGCCGTCTTCCCAGACCTGGGGTTCTCATAGGCTGACTTCTGTTAGGCATGAAAATTAAGTGCTAGCCTTGTGGTTTGTGCATCTCTTCCTTTGCCTCCCATGCAAGCCTCTCGATTAGAAACTACCTCATGGCCATGTTTCTCTGTTTCTCCAACCTTTAGAGACTGAAGGTAACAAAGACAATGCCACCACTCTGGGATTGCATTTCTTACCAAGATCAGGCCTGGGGGTTCTTCTACCCTAAAGGGGAGAACATTTTGCTTCCACAGAAACAGACTTGCATCTGAGACCAGGTGGCTGTCAGCTTTGGGGCAGACAGGAGCAGTCAAGGTGGTAATGGTGCTCTTTAGGCCTTCATAATTTCAGAAAGGTTCTCTCTGAGTAATTCCAGTTTCCACTCAAGACTGCCTCAGTTTCACCTGAATTAGAAAGTTAATGTTTGTTACCTTTTTCCCCTCCAGAAAAACACTTTAAGAAGGAGGATGTCAAGTAAATATTCTTTTACACTTGGAGACAAGATTTAGACGATGTGACTGCCTGCTGCAAGGTGGCAGTGCAGACACAGGCACCGGGGTTATTCTGCTGCCTCTCGCTGGCCAGATCCACACCAGGGGCCAGGCAGTGGCAGTGGATCCACTACAAACTTCTGCCAGGCAACGTGGAAGGTGATCTGCTGCCTCCTTCAGCTCTCTGCGCCTGTTCACCTCCTGCCTGATCCCCATCTTCAGCACCTTTTCAGTTCTTGAAGCCTCCAGTGCAGGGGGTAAGGAGCCCCAGCCCACCCTGCACCTGCCCAGCCATCAAGGACAGACAGGGGCACTCCACCTCCAGCTGCCACTGCCGCACCATCAGAGCATGGCTGTGCCAAAAATCTGAACTTTGAATTCTTATACTGGTATAAATAAGAGGCATCCTCTGTATCAAGAGTATGCTTGGAAGTGCTGTATCTTTTACTTTTTTATAGATTTGAAACAAAATATAGTGCCGCATTACATTTGTTAATGCTGTTTAGACTGCCTCACATATGAAGTATTACCTCTGAATAAAAAAAATTGAACAGAAAAACTTACCTATAGTTCAACGTGTTACCACTTCATGTGGCATATAAAATTACCAAAGGTGATTTCAGCGTGACTGAAAATAACACTATCATTTGATAAAGGTTACTCAGAAGAGTAAACCATATCTTCAATTTCCTGCATGGCAAAATTGAGGCACTGAGAAATTAAAAGTTAGGTTTAAACTCTCAGAAATCAGTCCTCTACCTCCCTGCTGTTAGCATTAGCTTGCATTGCTATAAATTGATGTGCTTCACTCATTTCGTAGGTGTACAGCGGGATAAAGCCAAATCACACATTTTCAAAGCTTGGAACACCAACAATAACTTTATTGCAAATAACTTCTGGCTTACAGTGGCTAATTGGAGGTGGCTGTGTGAGGCTGCACAGAACTTACTCGGAGGTTTAGAAAGAGGAGGCCTTGCAGGACATTCACCCGTTGGGCTGCACACACACTGCCAGAAGCACGACCAGCTCCGGAGTCACCTTTTACTCTTTCCTCCAGCCTCTGCATAGAGAATCAGTCAACACTTCAGGTCACGGTTACAACAGAGACATTGCTACACAGGCCTGAAAAATTGCATCAGAATTCACCAACTGGTGCTGTAAGACCACGAACACCAAATCCTTCGCTCAGCTAATGCTGATCCTAGGTCAATACATTTACTCTTCAGTAACTGGATTTTTTAAAAGCATTCAGACTGGGGGAAGGAATAAATCAATCAGGACCAAAGCACAAGAAGTAACTGTTAACACAAACCTCCCTACAAAATAAAAAAATTACATTCACTTCCAGTTCAGAGTGCCTGATGACATGGCAAAAACTGCTTGTATGCCTTGCTACCAGATCTATGGCACACTGTGCTTCACTCATCCTGTTCCTTATCCTCACTTTGAGCATCTGCCACTGGAATAAAAAAACGCTATAATTGCAGCCTTAGAGTTGACGCAGCGTAAGTTATCATCTTGTTATTCACTCCGACAGAAATACAACTTACACATGGGTCTGGGATGAGGCAGATCCAGCTCTGTCTTCTGTAATGCATCCCAATCAGTTTTAGTTTCTTACTCCCCAAGCCTGTCATGATGCAGGTGAGAAAATGAGCCTAAAGAGGCAGCAGTTCAGCCAAGCAAAACAACCCCGTAACGACCCAGAAACTCTGCCCAATCTGCAACACATCAGAATGAACTTTTACAGACCGTGTGAACTGGGAAGAGCATCACTTCAGACGGAGAAAGCAGAGTCTGAGTTCAGCTCAATGTCCCTGTAGCCTCTCCTTCCACTTGTGCCAACATGGTGCAATTCTGTTTAAAGAGTAGTAATGTACTTATGCCAGAGCCACATCCTCTCTGAAAACCATTTACTGTCCTGCCTGCCATAAGAGCAGCTTCAATTTCTTTTCATCTTACAGAGTAGCAATCAGGTTGAAGTCTTGTACAAAGTGCAACTCACTTTAGATCCTGTATTTTGAAGTATCAGAGCATCCAACTTCCAAAGCACACCAAACACGATAAAAATGTATAAAGGCAATGAAAGATGACAGCAGCCAGCATCTTACAGAAGAAACCTCCTTCTGGGAGCACAGACATTTCTACAAGCCTGATCAGCACATGAAACAAAGGACCACTAGAAGTCAGCATTTAGACATTTATTTCAGATATGCAGTGTACACGCATATTACTGAGCAAAACTGAATTGCAAATATACAAATACTGCAACAAGCATTACCAAATAACATAACTGGCACTAGTGTTATAAGCATATTACTGAAACTGGTGAGGATAAGTCATGGAAGAGGACTGCAGCTCATGGCATTTTCTTTTTATCCAACCAAACTTCCAGTAGCACCATAATGGCAATACATGAAACACAAGACAGAACATCGTTAACTGTTATTCTGATATTCACAATGTTTTTTTTCATTTTAGTGAATTACATAGCAAAAAATTGTAACAGTGCAGGCGCTTTGGCCGACTTCAGCTTGTGTTCAGCTGGACATCTTCCATATGCAAAAGAAAAAGAAAAAAAGCCAACATATTTGGAACCCATCTTTGCACTTGGGCAGTCATTGCACTGCACTTCGATTCTGGGACTGAAGATATGCATATCTTGCAAAGAGATGTCACGTCCACTGAAGCCTGAGTGAGTCTTTGGTAGGCTAATACTTCATTATTATTCTACATTTATCTACCACAGTCATTTTATTCACTAGAATTTTATTTTGTGATCCAAGGTGGCCAAAGAGGACATTCTGGAAAGCATTACAGTAAAATCCTCCAACGACCAGGCACTTCAAACCCAGTCTTTTCCAAAGGCACCAAGAATTGATGGGGCACCATTTTCTCCCCCTAACGAAAGGTGACTGCATCTGCTTTTCTACACCACTTATAAATCACGGGATTGGTTTTTACAGTTTCCACACACTCTATAGCAGCCTTATCTGCCACATGGGTGCTTACATGATAAATAAGTAACGCCACTGTTCTTCACAGGGGATGTCTCCATTCTACCAAAGTACCAATTTCTTCTGTTTCATAATTCTGTAAAATGCCATAACCTTGCTCAAGGCGTACACACATACAAACGCTTCTGACACAGGCTACATCCATCTGAAGATATGTGGTTCATTCGACATGCATTCTAAATACAGTGTGTCCAGTTATGAAACAAAATCATCACTACAAATAGTCACTGTTGAAATACGTTTGTATAGGTCTCTGCAAAACTTTTGCTTCCCTTAAATAGAGTTCACACGAGAATGGTTTTAAGTCACTAACGCTCAGCTAACATCCATTTAACCCAAACCCCATATTTTCCAAGTGAACAGTGCAGGACGTATTATTCATTTCAGCATTTAACATATTAAGAATTTACCAATTTTTATCTAAATACACCAAGTATATGCTTTCAAGCAAAGTTGTGGCAAAAATACAAAACATGGACGTATTTGTACTGCTGTAATGCACTTGGTTAAAGCCTTCATGTCTTCACACAGGTCTAAGATCCATATGAAGTACTTTGCCTCATCAGACAAGTATATATAAAATGCAGATGTATCAAAACCTTGCTTCTGCTGGTCACCTGAAACTAACAGAAGTTGCACGTAATTCAACCAGCGTTCAGACAGGGTTCTTTAGTGGTAAATATATTTTTGCAGCACTTACAGGCTTAAATTTCAGTCTGAATAGCAGTGCTTAATTCCACAGCATGTTGTGAATGGTTGTTGTTTGTTTCTTTCAGCATTTCATCAGCACCTAAACCTGCATCTGAGGCAGATCCATTATTAATGCTTTCCTCAGCAATGTAACTCAGCTGTGGAACATCAGTGCTTGGGGCTGTTGGAACAGGCACAGGGATTCCACTTGGCTGTGGAGAGTTTTCCAAGCGATCATTTTCCACCTCTGGGAGAACACTGACTGTGGTAAAGCGAGTGTGATAGTCGCTGGAACCATGGCTACAGGAAGTTTTCATACTTTCCATATCTGAGCAGCTAAACTCAGAAAAATGACTCGAGTGTGAATCTGCTACAGATGGGATACTATCGCTAAGAGAGGGAGAGTCAAATTCACTGGAGTTTGTGCTTTGTTGTTCCAACAGCTGAGCATCCATGTCCTCTCTCGTCTCATTTATCTTCATGCTACTCTTCTTTCTCAGCTTACCTTTACATTTTTTTCCTGCTGTTGATTCTTTGGACCACTTGGTGGCACCAGATTTACTTTCTGGCAAGCAGGCCGATGAACAACCGGCATTACTACGACCTGCAGCACTGCCATCGTCAACACTACTGCTTCCGCTGTTGTGTCTGAATTTGGCTGGCTTCGATTCAATATCCACTTGCACTTCCATACTGTTGCCTTCCCTAGAACAAGAGAGAATCCGTGAGTGTAAGCAGACATCCAAGACAAGCCAGCCAACACAGCAAACCAAACTCTTACTGTTTTCCAAGATGCGCAGCAAAAGAAAGTTAGGAAGATGTAACTTGGTTTAGAAAAGTTAAGTGTTTAACCACCAAATAAACAGCCCAAAGAAACATAAAAAGCCTGAAAGATCAAACACTTCCTTGTGCTATAGTGATGATGCTTTCTATTTGGAAATACCCTCAGCAAATATAAGCAGTCACATATAATTCCACTTGTAACAAAATTTGCCATTTCAAAGTGTAATCATTGAAGCAGAGCAGCTGAGGCATGCATGGCACATCCTTTAATACACAGGGCTTATCAATCTTCTATTTTCATCCCATTTCTCTTACCTGTCCAAAGGGATGTAGGAGTTCAGAATGGATCCTGCCATTGCTTTGGTACTGGCATTGTCGCTAACTGTCCCCAAGCTAACTGTGCCAGATTCTCCACTCAGACTGTATCGCTCTTTCTGCACATCTGCTTGTACTTCCAGTCTTGGAGAGAAAGAAAGAAAGAAAGAAAGGAAGGAAGAAAGAGTTGCATATACTGCTGCAACAGGTAAAGCACACTAGTTGAAAATTAGTGTCACCTCCTAGAGTTCCTCCACTGTTCAGTAATAAGTAGAGTTTATTATTTACTCCAGTACAGAGGCATGCATTTACCCTATTCAAACAGGTTCTCTTCTTCCCACTGTCAAAAATTACTATTTTCCATTTAATAAAAACCAAACCCAAACAACAAAACACAACAAAACAGAAACACTCAAAAGCAAAACCAGATTAATTTCCCAACAAAACAGGATGTTGCATCATAACCAGAGGTTCTGGATTCTTCCCCCCCCAAGATTTACAAGAACAGTGTCCAGGCTTAGCTACAATTCTTTTGCAGATAGTGTACCATAAAAATGGAAAAAAGAAATCAGAAGGGTATCTAAGTTCACGACATTATAGTTCCCCTACTACTCCAGCTACAAAATTATTACTAATCAAATAACAGGCAGAGATCTGTGTTCTGTACTCTGCTTTATATTGCATCGTTATAATCTGCAACAGGAATAATAGAAACCTGTGCAATCTTAAATTGGGCTAGGCAGATAAACCAGAAATCAAATTACAAGCTTTCTTCCAAATGCCTTGTTTGTCCTGACAGTGAACTGCAAGTAGTTTTTTGTTTTGTTTTCCACTCTCAGCTCTTTAAAGAAGAGGACAGGTATACCTCACTCAGCAGTCACAGCTCAAAACACCTATCCCAGCATAAGGAAACTCTTGATGCTATCCTGCCCTCTTTATTCTATTTAGCCAGGACTTCTGAAATACTCAAAAATCCAGGCCATTCTGTATCCACACTCACAGACACAGCTTAATACTTGCAGACTACTGAACAAGTCAGCGCTTCTGACTCGGGAGCAAGATGCACCGGAGAACACAACTGTGTTAGGCATGAGGGGCCTCCCTCTGAATCCTGGGAAGCAGGAGAAAAAGATCTCAGTCCCCACTCACCCCGAAAAAAATCAAAACTCTTCTTTGAGGACTGTGGTCTGGTATGATCTCTCAGAAATCAGCAAGTTTGTAAGATATTACCTGTCTCCATCTCCCCGAGACGGTGCCTTTTAATAGGAACCAATTTTTAAAAATCAAAATCAAAAAACCTAGTAATAGCTCTTCCTCTGCTTATACCGTATAGTAGAAGGCAAATCTCTTACCTGTTAAAGCAGTTAACCATTGCACTTCCTGAGAGACTCCCTGTTATACTCGCCCCAGCCAGGGCCATGGTACTGGCGGTTTCACTTAGGTTGTCTCGAATGGCTCCTATTCTATCCATGTGGCTACCACTGGCACTCAAGCTGCCGGTCAGTCCTCCAACGCTGCCTTCGCCTATGCTAGGGTTATGGCGCGCCTCTGCTACCGAAGTGGTATCTAGACAGGGAGAAAGAAGGCTTGTCAGTTATGGAAGTAGAACTTGCTGGTTTCTAGAATGTGACCATGGAAACTGTTCCTGAAATTATGACGAGAAAAACAATTTATAAAAGATAACTTTGTAAAAAACATATTATTACTATTATTACCATTACCAATATTATTATTATAATAGTCGATACAGTGGTTATACCTGACATCACATAATTAAACTAACAAAAAAGTTAACCATGAATAGATTAGGTAACATGGAGTCAAGGTAACACAGACAGACCCTGTCACAAAGGATATTGTCCTATAATTAAAATTTAAGCAGCACTAAATCAGCATTTAGTTCCCTCTATTATAGACAAAAAGATGAAAGCCAGCAAGCTTTTAAAACTTTTAGCTATGGAAAGGACTTTACTTGACTCTGGCATTGATCAAAATGGGCAAGAAAAGTTTTAAAAGTTGTATTACAGCACAACACAACACAAACACAGAAGCTATCCTCATCTAAGAGCTGGTCTTTCAGCAGTGAGCAGAGGTAGTCCTAACTGTACAGTATCTCTTCTGCAAATAAGTACTGCAGTACCTAAGGCCATCAACTAGAAGTCACCAAGCCCAAATTTAGAGAAAATGAAACATGGAATTTTCTTACCTACAGCTGCATTTGTTCCACCAACATTTATATCATTTTCATCATCAAATTCTATCCTGACACCTTTTCCATTGCCTGCTGACACACCACAGCCTCCACTTCGGCAGAGGGAAATTGGAACAACTCCATACACATAAGCCAGCATAATAGGAACACCAATACCTACGGAGTAAAGTAGTTCCATTAAATGTGACTTGTATTTTGGAGCCCTTTATAAAAGCAATTTAATTTTCCATGATTACTTAGTATTTCACATTTGAAAAAAATTAGGAAGGAGTAAACTTAATAAATACTGGTAAATCACTAAGGTGAAATGACAGGAAAGTACTTCCAGCAGACAGAATGTCCTCTGTCAGCACTGGCAGGCAGAGAAGCTTAACACTTGATGAATTAATAATTCCAGTGTGTCCATAACATCTTTTACAAACAAAATGAAAATACTGTAAAGGTTCACATAAGCTCCACTGGAGACTGTAATACTGTTCCACCTGAGAAGCAGAAATAGCAGAGATCTATTTCAAAATGTTATTCAACTAAAAATGTTACTAGCTCTACTAATTTAATAAGGGGCTTGATTTTGCATCCATTCAAGTCATTCAGGGCTTTGCTATCAATTTAATAGCACTTAACATTATTAGTGTGGGATCCTCCATAGTTATTGTATCACACTGACTCCATTTAAAAGTTTAATTATACAGGTTGGTCTTAAATGGAAAAAGTTTCTGTGGAGCAGGGTGGCAAGAATAAAGGAAAACCAGTGAAAGGAATAGTGGGCTAAAGCACACAGAGTTACATACACATCCATTCTACCACTTCTAGTGCAGTGCAAAAGTTACTCCTTTGGCGTATGAATTAAGCTGTTCTATGGCTTTCCTCTTGGAAGTACACAGAGGGCACAGAAAAATGGCATGCTGGCACATTCCAAAAAAGCCAGGATGCAGGCAGGCCCAATGCAATGGCTCCTCAAGTCTAACCCAAAGTAAGAGTTCTATTATAAGAAGTCTCTTTCACTAAAAATTTGTCAGCACTCAAGGAGGAAATCCATATTCTCAAGGTCATTATTTTGGAAGCCATATAATCCCCTGAGACTGCAGGCCACGTGTTAATGACAAGGAGGCAAGAGCAAAAGCTCCACAAAATAAACCCCGACTGCTTTCCCTAAGAAGCCAAGTCTAGTCAGGAATAAGAGCTCAAAAAAATGAGGTAAAGCAGACCTACAAATACATCTGCGAGACTGTGTCCCACTACCAGTTTAGTGGGGATCTGACACCACAGCCACATGAGAGCAATGCAGTGCAGACAGATACCAGAGACAGTTTTATGACCAGTATATCTGCATTTGCACAGTGGTCAGCCATGGTTAACAAGCAGTTTAAAGCCACAGCTTCATGGCCAATTTAAACTATCACTTGCTAAGAGTGGCCCTCATTTGTCTCTGAGCCTTACTTCTGGCATGAAGAGGAACACTGCACACACAACTGTGTGATGAATCGCTTCAGGGGACTGATCCAGCTTAAAACTACCTGGTGAGTCTTAACATGAAATAGTTATCCATGGCAGCAAACTGTGCAGCTGTAAAGACGCCTGTGCTGCAACAAAGGAGAAGCAAGGCTGTGCTGGGTGAGTCCACTCCTTTTAAAAATCAAGGTTTGTTTACAGTGATCTTGAGACTACACGGTAATATAACAAGTACTTTGTAGTGTGCAGTCAGATTTTCCTTAAATGCTATCCTAAACAATCCCTGTGAAAAAGAATACAATAAAATTCAAACTGACTCCCAGAGCATAACAAATAGTTTGTCAACTACTACAATGTCAAATGTCAGAGACTTTTTTTTTGTGTTGAGAAAAGTTTGATTTGAAATTATTCAAATACAAATAGACTTGATAGCAACGGGTTTTTTTCTTGGTCAGCCATTTTAAAAGCTTTAAATGTTTCAGTTTTAAAAGCCAGACATGACAGTGTGGAAACTTCAATCTGCAAGATAAAAATTATTTTTAATTCTTCATTTTAATGCAGCATTTCCTGAAGTACTGTATTCTCCATTCTGCCCCAATAAATGTCTAACCTCAGACTCCTCATTGTTTTGGTTCCTTCACCTATAAAAAGAGACTATTGGATGTATCTCAGCTGTTTTATTCATGAGTGCTTCTAGAGCTCTGGTTGCAAGGTGCTACCAACACACAAAATAATAGTATTTGCTTACCTACAGTTACTGCAGCTACAACTGGAGAAACAATTACAGATAAGGTTACACCACCTGCTATAGCCAAGTTTCGCTTGTGCTTTGAAATGTCTTTGCCTTCGTATCGATTGTGAATCTTGAGAGAAGAAAAGAAGAAAGGGGTTTTTAGAGTATTATCATCATAATACATTGCTGCAAGGATGGAAGAACTGACGTACAATAGCTTGGAATCTGCACCCTGCTCTTCTCCAGAGAGACCACATTCTATGTCACAATTTATTCCTTAACTGATCCCAAAGAAAATAAAATTTATACATTTATTAATTTTAAGCAACTTCTCAAAAGTTAGAAGTCCTTCCATCCAGCAACTAAGCATTTACTTTCAGCCTCAAGTTAGAAGAGCTAAAGCACTGAACAGCTGTTCTTGTTTGTTTGTTTGTTTAATCATTACTCCAGCTATCATGGCTAGGAAAAGTAGACAATTTTCACAACCAAAAACTACCACATCTGATCAAATGGATACTTGTAATTCCGAGCCATCTTTCCCCTGAACAATATGGAGTGAAACCTTCACAGATTATTAGATCTATGGAAACAGAGGTTGACATAACAGAACCATGAAAATCTTGTAGTAAGGCAGCCGCCACCAAACATAGCGTGGGCGGGGGGAAGAGCAAGAACTCCATTGCTCTGGCACCCTCTCACGAGAGGCTGTTGAGACATGAAATATTTTAGCAAACCTGAGTCTTAGCTGTGCTACTATGCACTGAGGAATCTGCTAACCAAAAGCCCTACTGATGCTTCAAGTCTCCAATAACTCTGAAATGTTATTGCTTCAAACTTCTGTCACAAATCCAATGTGAACCTGAAAGGCCTTGAAAGATCACTGTTCCACAGAGGTTTCCTATTTCTTGTGCACTTCATTTACTCTAAGGAAGATGTTTTTTCAGTGATATGCACTTCATCTGTCATCATTCTCGGTTAAGACATAATTGCAAAGGAACAACAGGTCACTATCTTAATGGTTGTCATGAGGCTAAATTAATCCCCTCTACATTTAAGGAGAAACACAAAAGAGAGTACTAAGAGGATAATCACAGTATTTTGATATCAACGTGCTACTACAAAAAGAATGACAAAAATGAGCTGGGGGTTCTATTGAATGTGCTTTCTAAACTGTAATCTCAGTTAAAGATTCGGTAAGGTAGTTCTCATTTTGAAAGACAAATTATTTGTATTTGTTCAGGCAAAACAGGCAAGGAAAGGGCAGGGAAAACACTGCACTTTGTGTAATGAGAACGTATTTACTTGCTCTGAGGTACGTTATACAAAAAGCAACAGGGAGTGAGGTAGCACCTGAATGTTGAACACACCTATAGATTAAAAATGAAAAATGGAACATGCTCCTACTGCGAGAGTGCTCATGTCAGAATTACAAGCCCAAGAAGATCAGGTTTCATGGGGATCCTCTGAGTAATAACCGAGTTTTACAGTTATGGGCAATTTTAACTACCAAAACAAAAGGCATACAACGAACAAAGATATCTACAAAGGCTACTGGATTCCTAAACATAAAGCAACAAAGAGGAATGGAAAAAAGCGGTTACAGAGGAGAAACCGATTGAAAACATGAAGACAGACGATCACACTGGTAGGAATGACTATGAAATAAAGAGACTTCAGAATACTGAGTAAAGACTAAAGAATAACCAGAGAAAAATACTGCGCCAGAAGAAGAGGGATTTCAATAAACACAGAAAACTGGTATGTTAAAAGACTTGTAAGACTTTTTATAGATATAAAAAGAGAGGACTAGCACTTCCTTAAGGAAACTATCAAAGCACAAGCACAAACTCTTCCAATGCAGAAGACAGATGGCATGTTGTAAAAGGACAACGAATCTTCTTTTACTGAAGCAGCAGCAGCATTAAGAAAATAGAAAGTAGGTCAGATTACTGTGAATGGGTACAAAGGAACAGCATGAGGGTGTCAGGAAAAAATCAGAAAGGTTAAAATAGAGGAGACAAAAAGTAAGGGACATCAAAGTCAACAAGAAATTATTCTACAAGTACACTGCTAGGAAGAGGAAGACCAAAATGGATCAATTTGGTATTTAACAAAAAGGAAAGACTGCCAGCAGAAGAAACTGGAGTCCTGTTCAATTTTGTTTCTCACTTCAGCTGTCACTAAAGATCAACTGTGAGCCAGTGACTGGTGACAAAGGAGTAAGATCTGTAGGAAAACAACAGGTTAGAGTGTACTTGCATGAGGTGATCTGAAAAATATCTCAGCACGCCCAATTTCAGAGCCATTATTAATAATCTTTGAAAATGTTATTCCAAAAGATGTCTGGAAACAAATAAAAGTCAGGAAAGCTGGAAAAAGGTAAATTGCAATGGTGATGGTAAAAAAGGCGTAAAAAAGAAGCTGGGGAATTAAAGACCAGTATAAATGAACTTTAATTTCCTGAAAACTGGGAACTTGTAGATGCCAAAGAAATTAAAGGAAATAGAGGCCACATTGATCTTTTTTCCAAGTAGAAATCACATCAATTTCATTTTCTTCTGTGAAAAGGTAACTAACCCTGAGGATAGGGAGAAGCAGGTGTCATGTACTGACTTATAAGAAAATATCAAAATTTTGTTCATGACACACAAACAGGTTGCAATGATCCACACTGAAAGACAGACTAGAGAAAGCCACTATTAGCTTCATGTAAAACTGATAAAAACCATCCAAGTTGTCATTAGGGTTTTTTTACTTCTGAAACTGAAACTTCTCACCCTATACTTTACCAAGGGATACACCCCTGGATCCCAGAGTATTCAACATTTTCATTAACCTGGAGGATGGAAGGAGAAGAATGTGTGTGCTGAATTTCAGGCCAGTACAGTCTAGCAAGGTTGCAAGAATGCCTGAACAAGTCTTCAGAAGCTGGAAAAATGGCCTGAAGTGACTAAGATGCAGCACAAAGGCAGAGAGTTCACGCCTTCCCTTAGGAAGGGAATAACTGCCTAAAATACCTGTACATTGGGGAAGAGTATGTGTACAATGGGGAAGAGTGTGTTTCAGAGTACACAAAATGAAAAGAGTATGTTGTTGAGAAAGAGGTAACTGGCAGTTTTATGCACAGGATCACCCTCTCTTTAAACTCAGCAGCAGGTATATTCAGTTTCACCGCTATATTCAAACTGCACAAGAACAAAGGCAGTATGAACAACTGGAAGGAAATCCAGAAAATATGAGAATCAGAGGTCTAAAAATACAGTTTGTCAAAAAAAATTGGAATTGCTAGGGCTGTTTAGGGATAAGAACGAAAGTGTATTTAAAAAATCAAATATGTAACGGAGTATTGCAAAGCAAAAGGATTCTTTATGTCAGCCAAAGATAGAGCAGAATGAATTCAGTGTAGGAAGAGAATTTACATTAATGTTAGAAAAATCAATTTTACTGAGAAAAATGAGGCTTGGAGAGCCTATGGAATCTCCACCATCAGACAGTCTGAATAAAAGTATAAACATGTGACAAGAGTAACAGAAAAATTACCATTAAGCAGTGAGATGCAAAGGAAAGTCTCATGAGGCTCCTGTCACAGACTAACTTAAGACTTTACCATTCATATGTGAAAGTGTTGAGGCCCTATCCCAAAATCTAATGGGAAAAGCAGAATGTGCAACAGTCACGTGAAACAGGCAACTGTTGCTTTTTTCCTGTTATCATTTATAAGGTTCTAATGACTGCATGGGACTAAGGCAAGACAAAATAGAAGGGTCAAAAAACCACAAACCTGTAGCAGAAGGAAGGAGTACTTGCTTGAAAGAAAAAGATGAAAAAGTCTACAGTGGAAGAAGTTCATGTGAGAGAGAAACACCCTACCCCCCACCACAATAAATGTAGACTTGTGTCTGTGCCAGTCATTGTGGAAACCCATGCAGATAAAAGCAGAAATAAACAAATCTGATTATGCCACCCAGGACACATAAATGAACACTTTGCACC